TGGGGAAGGGTGTAAGCCAGGGATGTGTCCATACCTATTCAATTTATATGCATAACAGATTATCCGGGAGGCTGGGCTCTATGAGGAGAAGTGTGGCATCAGGATTGGTGGATGATTCATGAACAATCTGTGTTATGCAGATGACACAACTCTACTTGTTGAAACCGAAGAAGAACAGAAGTGCTAGCCTTCAATATGGATTGAGGCTCAATGTCAAGAATACAAGGATTCTCACCACTGGGCCAATTAGCAGCATCAGGATGGATGGTGAAGAGATTGAGATTGTTCACAGCTTTAGTCGGCTTGGCTCCACAGTCAACACTCATGGCACCAGCAGCCAGGAAATAAAAGATGTATTGCGATGGGAAAGTCTGCTGTTAGAAACCTCTCCAGAGTACTGAAGAGCAATGGTGTCACTCTGGAGACTAAGGTGCACCTAAAAAAGGCCATGGTATTTGCAATCACTTGCTATGTGCCAGAGAGCTGGACAATGACTAGGGAGAATAGAAGGAGAATTGATATCTTTGAGCTGTAGCATTGGACAAGAGTATTGAATATACCATGGAATGCTAAGAAAATGACCAGGTTCATCCTGGAGAGGGTTAAACTGGGCTGCTCTTTGGAGGCAAGGATTCTGAAGCTTCATCTCACATACTCTGAACATGTTGTAAGGACAGACCAGTCATTGGAGAGGGCTATCATGCTTGGGAGGGTGGAGGGACAGCGCAGGAGAGGAAGACCCCCTGAGGTGGATTGATTCAGTGACTGGAGTAATGAGAATGGGTGTGTAGGAGACAGTAAGACTGGCACAGGACAGAGCAGGGTTTAGGGCTGTTGTACACAGGGTCGCTATGAGTTGCAGGCAACTCTATGGCACATAACAATAAACAACATCCTTTTCTGATTCTTTGGTGAGAACTTTATGATAGAATTTGAAAATTTTACTTTGTTGTTAGACTCCACTTATACAACTCTGAAACTTTTGTAATTTCAGGGTTGAATCCAGCTGTTATTTAATTTTTTAATATTTATCCATTGTGGGTTTTTAAGCATTAACTTTTATTTTAAAAAGAAAAAGTTTAATTTGTACACATCAACTGAGCAGCTAATCCTTGGTACATCCACACAATACAGTATTATGCATAGCTTGAAAAATGGTAAGAAATTTGTGAAATATTGCACAAAATGGATTATTTTAGAACAAATTATGAGTGACAGAAATTAGTTACAAAAGGATAATTATGGTATATGGGCCTCACCTGATGACTACACAAGCCTCAGATTAACTATGTCTGTGGAAAGAGTTACTGGAGAAGCATAATATCAACAGTCACAACCAGGTCAAGTGCTGACTGTGGAAGGGACTATAAATTATTCATGTGCAAGTACAAGCTGAAGAAAATAAAAACAAGTCCACAGAACCAAAATACAATCTTGAGCCTATACCACTCAGATTTTAAAATCACCTTAAGAAGAGGTCTAAAGGGAACTCTGGTGGCCTAGTGGCAAGAAGCTGCACTGCAATCCCAGAGGAGTGCAGTTTGAATCCACCAGATGCTCTGCTGGAGAAGGGGGAACAATATCCTCCTGTACCAGTCAGATCCAATTTGATAGTACACACATAAAAAATGATAAAATTAGGGGTAAAAAAGGAATAGGTTTGAAAAAGAAATAATTTTTTTAAAAAAATAATAGGTTTGAGGCATTGAACACAAATGGTTAAAGATCAGATGGGTTGTAGAATGACATCAAGGATCTCACCCATGAAAAAAGCAAAAAGTCATTTTAAAGAGAGGTAAGAAAGAAAAGGCCAACATGGATGTCAGAAGAGACTCTGAAAATTGCACTAAGAATGTTGAGAGCCACAAAGGCAGCATCATGATAGACAGACAGCTTACTTGGTTCCACCAGCAACACTCTTGGCACCAGCAGTCAGGAAATCAAAAGACGAATTGCATTGGGCACATCTGCTGTCAGGGATCTCTCCAGAGTACTGAAGAGCAGCAATGTCAGTCTGCAGACTAAGGTTTGCCTGATCCAGGCTATGATCTTCGCAATTACTTCCTATGCATCAGGAAGCTGGACAATGACTAGGGATGACAGAAGGAGAACTGGTATCTTTGAGCTATAGTGCTGGAGAAGAGTATTGAATATATACTGGACTGCTAGGAAAACAAACAAGTTAGTCCTAGAGAGAGTGAGACCAGGCTGCTCCTTGGAAACAAGGATTCTGAAGCTTTGTCTGACATATTTGGACATGTTTCAAGGCAGGATCAGTCCTTAGAGAGGGACATCATGCTTGGGAGGGTGGAGGGATACCATAAGTGAGGAATACCCTCGGTCAGATGGATTGATTCAGTGACTAGGGTAATAGGGGTATGTGTGCTGGAGCCAATAAGAGTGCCACAGGATAGAGCAGGTTTTAGGGCTTGTTGTACACAGGGTGGCTATTAGTCACAGGCAACTGATGGCACATAACAACAACAAATTAAATACTTTTATTGGTTTAATACTTGTAATAACTTTAAGACTACATCAATCCTTTCACATTAGAGAAAACTTAGAGAACTTAAGTGAATTGACCAAATTAACATTTATTCTGTGATAGAATCTATAGTCAATGCAGAATTTTATATTGTGATTTAGCAATTGCTTAACAGTCACAAAAGGACAAATACTGTATGGTGCCACTGTTGTAGAATGAGGCGGACATCAGGGTGGATGTAAGACTGAGAAAAATTGGATAAATTATGTAAACTGCATTGAAGCCGATGAGGGAGAGGACAGTTTAAAAGCAATATATTTTAGGGCATTATGATTATCATAAGAGTTTGGAATGAGGGTTGCAGAGTGGAGTATACTTGGGGTGGGGGTGGGGGGTGGTGCGGGAGGATTGTATACCAATGAAGGCATTTTTTCCTTTTGGTTTTCAAGGAGAAGAGCGAACTTGGGGGGGGGCAGGGAGAAAAGTGCAACAATGAGTGAATGGAAATCAAAAATCTCTGTAAATGTTCATTGAAATTAATAATAAAAAAGAGTAAATGTGGAACCTATAGAACCAAGAAAAAAAATTGGCAATTACATATTGACAAGAACTCATCTAAAATCTATAGAAAACTCCAACACCTCAACAAGAATCAAATAAACAACCTACTCAAGAAATAATAAGTCAGTGAACAATAAATACTGTTGAAGAAGTGCAAACACTGGAACTTATATATCACTGGTAAGAACATAAAATACTGCAGCCACTATGGAAAGCAGTTTAGCTCTTCCTTAGAAAATTCAGAATAGAAATACAGTTTGATCCGGCAATCTCAACACTGTGTGTGTGTGTGTGTGTGTGTGTGTGTGTGTGTGTGTGTGTGTCCCAAAGAAATAACTACTGCAGCACAAACTGATACACTCACACTCATGTTTATTGCAGCATTATTTAAAATAGCTAAAGGACTGAAACAACCCAAGGGCCCATCAATGAATAAATGGATAAACTACGATATATGCACACAACTGAAAAGCAATCATGATGAGTCTAGAGGACAATATGCTGAGTAAAATAAGTCTGTCACTAAAGGACAATCCTGTATAAGACCACTGTCATAAAAGACTAGAGAAATGTTTACATACAGACGGAATAAAAGTAATATGGTTACAGGGAGGGAAAGGTGCGAATATAAAATGAATTAATAGACGTTATTGTTGTCAGGGGTTATGGTGTTGACTACAATTCATAGCAACTGTACAATACCAGATCAGAGCCTCATCTTATTCTGTGCCCTCCTCACCATCTCTGATAAGTTCAATCCTGTTACTCAATCGTGGAGTCATCTTGTTGAGAGTCTGCCTCTCTTTCTCTGGCCTTCTCCCTCTCCAGCATTATGCCATTTTCCAAGGACTGGCCCCTATTGACAGCATGTCAAGAGCATAAGATGAAGTTTTATCATACTTGTCTCTAAGGAAGAGCTCTATTACCCTTCCTACAAGATATATTTGTTTGTTCTTTTGGCAGTATGGGATGTTTAGTACTCTTCTCCAACACCACAATTCAAAGGCATCAATTGTTCTTCTGTAAACATTATTCATCATTATTCCTTAATTATTGCATCCTTTCTCCATACCTATTCAATCTGCATGTAGAGCAAATAATTTGAGAAGCTAGACTATATGAAGAAGAAAGAGGCATCAGTATTGGAGGAACACACATCAACAGCCTTGTTATGCAGATGACACAACTTTGCTTATAGAAACTGAAGAGGACTTGAAGCACTTGATGTAGATCAAAGACTATATCCTCCAATATCAAGGATTACATTTCAATATCAAGAAAACAAAAATCATCACATTGTACCAATAGGCAAAATCATGAATTATAGAGAAAAGACTGAAGTAGTTAACAATTTTATTTTACTAATGTTCATAATCTACACCAAAGATAGGATCAGTCAAGCAATCAGAAGACTTGTTGCTTTGGGAAAATCTTCTGTCAAAAACCTTTCCAAAGTGCTAAAGAATAAAGATATCGGTTAAAAGACTAAGATGTGCCTAATTAAAGCCATGACAGTTTCAATTACTTTGTATGCATCTAAAAGTTGGAAAATGAAAAAGAATGACAATGAATAGATTCAAAACATGTATTTCTATGGCTTAAGGAAAAGAGAATACAGAATGAATGGAAGATTGGATACTGTTGGCATTGTAATTGACGTTATGAAACCAAATATACATGAATTACTGATTGAAAAAAAAAGAGACATTGAAAATTTTCACTCTAACCACAATAAAAAAAAATTAGCTAGCAAAAAAACTCCACATGCAAGTGCAGAATGCATAAAAGAAAACAAAAACAGAAATGGAAAGTTGAGGGGAAGCCATCCAGAAAATAGAAAGTAGTGTGTTCTCTATTTAAACCCATGCCCAGTGGAAGGTCTCCAGAGAACCTACAGGTCAAGGCTCAAAAGTCACCTCCATCAACCAGGACAGCAGCATCTTCCAGATTCCCAATGGCCCTCTCTTATTTTCTGCTGGTGGTCCTGGTGGCGTTGAGCTGCAACGCCACCTGCTGTCTGGGCTGTAAGATGGCTTGGAGCCATAGCCTGGCTAACAGAACTTTGACAGTTCTGCAAGAAATGAAGAGGATTGATCCTTCCTATTGCCTGAAGGACAGAAAAGATTTTGGATTTCCTCAGAAGGAGCTAGATGGCCACAAGTTCCTGAAGGCTCAAGCCATCTCTGTCCACCGTGACCTGATCCAGCAGATCTTCAACCTCTTCAGCAATCAAAATACATCTGCTGCTTGGAATAAGACCCACCTGGATGAACTGTGCACTGTACTTGATCAGCAGCTGAATAACCTGGAAGTCTGTTTGATGCAGGAGATGGAGAAAGAAGAAGGCTCCCTGATAAATGTGCGCTCCAGACTGGCTGTGAGGAAATACTTCCGGGGGATCACTGTCTATTTGGCAGAGAAGAAATACAGCCCCTGTTCTTGGGAGGTCACCAGAGCAGAAATCATGAGGGTCTTCTCGGCATTGACAAACTGGCAAGAGAGACTAAGACGTGAGGAAGGAGACCTGGTCCAATGAACAAGCTTTTCAGCAACTATTTCATTATGTCATACTTCTACAAATTCAGTTATTTCAAAAGACTAATTCTTTTAATAATCATGACAGGAACTGAATCCAACTTGTCAAATGTGTTTTCAGCAGTATTAAGCAATATTGTGTCTAACTGTATGGACACTAACTTGTTCTTTACATGCTAGTGTATCTATTTACCTATTAGTATTTATTTACTTATTTACCTATATATGTATATATTTATTTTTGTTCACATAATAAATATCCTATTTTGTGCATAAAATGATGTTCTTTTATATTTTATTAAATTATTCTTTTCTATGGTCATTAAATATTTATGATTGAAAATTTCCTGTACTTGTTTATTTTTATAAAAGAAACATCAAGCCTAACTATATAGGGTTTTTGTTGGTTTTTAAAAAAATTTTATACTGGTATAAAAATTTCTTATACATTGTTTGTCACACCAGATCATTCCCATTTCCTTCACCTCTCCCCTTCCTCCACCTATCAGACTGTAGGAGCCTATGATTAACCTGTGCCCACTATCCCCGCACCCATCCTCAGCCCCGTGCTCTTATCCCTCACCCCTTGGATCCTCACACTCATTCTACAATAATGGTCTTAAAAAATATTTGTCCTTATGGGACTGAGTTAGTTCACTCAGCATAATGTTCTCCAGTCCATGCCAAGTTAGGAAATAATTTACAAAATCATTGTTCCTGCGTGCTGCCTAGTATTCCATTGTGTGAATGTATCATAATTTCAGAATCCATTTGATTGTGGTTGGACATTTGGTCTGTTTCCATGTTTTTGAATTGGTAAAGAATGCTGCAATGAGCACTGGTGTAGAAGTCTCTGTGCCTTGGTTCTTGTTTTTGTGTGGTATATTCCAAGCAGTGGAATCACAGATTCATAGCTAATTGACAATGGAAAATTGTTGAAAGGGTTACTAGCTCACTTGCCTCCTTGCCGTAGGTATAGGGACCAATCAGGGCCCTCCACAGCCTGGTGCTCCCAGACAAAATAGTTTTGGGCCAGAGGACCACAGGCCCAAGGGCCAAGAAACAAAAAGTATGCACCCCTCCTGGAAAACTATCCTCTTGCATCAGCACCTTGCTGCAAATGGAAGAGAGGAGGTATCAACCCACAAGAAGTCAATCCTGGAGTTGAAGTTCAAGACAAAGGACTTTTTCTCAGAACTTTCTGAGGAAAGAAGTCATCCTTGATACTTGTACCTGACAGTTGTATTTAGATATTTTTAAATTGAAGAGATATTAGTCACATCATAAGAGACTGGCAGCAGCATGAGGTGTTCAGAATCACAGAAATCCTGATGGCTTGAGATAATGATGGACATCATATCAAGGGCTGTTCAAGAGGAAAGAGGTATTGGATGGTGTAGATGGAATTAGGAAGGGATGCTGGAGTAATAGGGAAAAGGGTGGGTCAAAATACACATGGCAAGGGTGGGGAGCAACATTGAATATATCAGTCATTTTTCTAATTGGATAAATGTTTTTAATACACTCTTTTCTGTAAAATGCTTGTCTGTCAGATACTACTATTAAAAAAACTCCCCAAAACCTAAAACCAAACCCAAAGACAATTAAGACAGACTAGGAAGAAGGATTGGCCATTCACTTCCAAAATAACAGGCCTTTGAAAACCCTGTGTACAACAGAGCACACTTAGACTAGCAGACATGACAATGGAGACTGAAATCTCAGATATGGAAACACAAAGGAGGAGGAAGAGCTGTAAGCAGATACTAATGATTGGAACGTGGAATGTGAAGCATGAATGTAGGAAAATTGAACATTGTTAAGAAATAAATGAAACACATAAATATTAGGTACTGGCAAAGTGGGATGGCTTGGCATGGGACATTTTGAATAATATGATCATATGATCTACTATGCTAGGGATGAAAAGATGAAAAAAAATGGAGTTGGTTTCATAATTTAAAAAGTCATTTCTAGATCCGTCATGAAATACAATGTGGTAAGTGACGGGATAATATCCATACGCTTACAAGGAAGTCCAGTGAATACCACTATCTTTCAAATATATGCACTGACAACTAGAGCCAAAGAGGAAGAAATGGAAAATTTCTACCAACTTCTGCAATCAGAAATTGATCAAACATGAAATCAAGATGCATTGATAAGAATGGGCGACTGGAACACAAAGTTCAGAACAGGGAAGAAGGATCAGTAGCCGGAAAACATGGACTCAGTGACAGAAATGAGGCTGGAGATAGAATGATAGAATTCTACGCATTCAATTATTTATTCATTGCAAATACCTTTTATAAGAAACACAAACACAGGCTACACACATGGATTTCATATGACGGTATGCATAGGAATCATTTGGTTACATTTGTGGAAAGAATCAAATTGATTACATTTATGGAAAGAATTGCTGGAGAAGCTCAATATCAGCTGTGAAAACCAGGCCAGGTGCTGATTGTGGGTCAGACCACAAACTATTCATATACAACTTCAAGCTTAAGTTGAAGAAAATTAAATCAAATCCACGGGAACCAACATTTGACCTAAGTCTATGCCACTCGAATTTCAAAACCATCTCAGGAATAGGTTTGAGGCCTTGAGTACCAATGAGTGTAGACAAAATGAGCTCTGGGAGGATATCAAGAAAATCGTCCATGAAGAATGCAAAAGATCATTACAAATGCTGAAGAGAACGAAAAGACCAAGATGGATGTCAGATGAGACTCTGAATATTACATTAGAACTCTGAGAAGCCAAAGCTAAAGGGAGAAATCAAGAAATTAAAGAGCTGAACAGAAAGTTTCAAAGGGCAGCTCGGGATGGCAAAGCATGATACTATAGTGAAATGTGCAGAGAGCTGAAGTCAGAAAATCAAAAGGGCTGAACTCACTCAGTGTTTCTTAAGCTGAAGGAATTGAAAAACAAATTCAAGCCACAAGTGGCAATACTTATGGATATTTATGGTTGCTTTGGGTAGAAAGTTAAATGATCCAAGAAACATTAAAAGAAGATGGAAGGAGTATACAGAGTCACTGTGCCAGAAGGAATTGGCTGACAGAGAAGAATTTCATGAAATAATGTATGAGCAAGAACCTGTGGTGATGAAGGAGGAAGTTCAAGTTGCTCTGAAAAAATTTGGCAAAAAACAAGGCTCCAGATATTGATGGCATACCAATTGACATATTTCAACAGACGCTGCCCTGGATGTGATCACTAAGTTGTGCCAAGAAATCTGGAGGCTAGCCAGCTGGCCAATTGACTGGAAGAGATCGATATTTGTTTCTGTTCTAAAGAAAAGTGACCTGACAGATTGAGGAAATTATCGAACAATATCATTAATATTACATGCAAGCAAGATTCTGCTAAAAATTATCCAAAAATGACTGGAGCAACACATCAACAGAGAACTGCCAGATGTGCAGGCTGGGTTTAGAAGAAGTTATGATACTTGGAATATTATAGCTAATGATAGATGGATCTTGGCACAAAGCAGAGAGTACCAGAGAAATGTCTATTTGCACTTCACTGACTAAGCAAAGGCTTTTAACAGTGTGGATCACAAGCTATGGCTGACTCTGAGAAGAAAGGGAATCCCAGAACATTTGATTGTGCTTATGTGAAACATATATTTGACCAAGAGGCAGTAATCAGAACACAACAAGGAGACATTGCATGATTCAAAATTGGGAAGGGGGTCCGCCAGAGATCTATTCCGTCTCCATTCCTCTTCAATCTATATGCAGAACAGATCATCTGGGAGGCTGGGCTGTACAAGGAGGAATGTGGCATTAAGATTGGTGGAAGATTCATCAACAAGCTGAGTTATGCAGATGACACAACCCTGCTTACTGAAACTGAGGAGGACCTGAAGCGCTTGCTGCAGGTCAAGGACTGCAGTCTTCAATATGGTTTGAAGCTCAACATCAAGAAAACAAAGATTCTCCCCACTGGGCCAATTGGCAACATCAGTATGGATGGTGAAGAGATTGAGATAGTTAACAGTTTCAGTTTGCTTGGCGCCACTGTCAACACTCTTGGTACCTTCAGCCAGGAAATCAAGAATGAATTGCTTTGTGAAAGTCAGCTGTCAGGGACCTCTTCAGAGTACTGAAGAGCAATGACATCAGGTTGGAGACTAAGGTGTGCCTTATCTGAGCTATAGTCTTTGCAATTGTGTGCTATGCATTGGAGAGCTTGTCAGTGACTAGGGACAACAGAAAGAGAACTGATGCCTTTGAGCTGTGGTGCTGGAGAAGAATGTTGAATATACCATGGACTGCTAGGAGAACAGTTTTGTCCTGGAGAGGGTGAAGCCAGGCTGCTCTTTGGAGGCAAGGATTCGGAAGCTTCGTTTGACATACTTTGGGCATGTTGCAAGGAGAGACAAGTCCTTGGAGAGGGACATCATGTTTGGGAGAATGAAGGGACAGCACAGGAGAGGAAGACCCTCAATGAAATGGATCGATTCAATGATTGGGGTAGTGGGAGCAGGTTTATTTGAGACAATGAGGTTGGCACAGGATACAGCGGGCTTTAGGTCTCTTGTACATAGGGTCACTATGAGTCACAAGCAAGTCAACAGCACACAACAACATTAACAGTTCACTTGAAAACTACAGGCTACTTTTACTTTTTTAAAAACAGTGCCAGAGAAAGCAGAGAATTGAAGTGGCCAATAGTAAGAGACTCTGAAAAAGAGAGAGATTCGCATTTGACTCTATCAGCACTCTTCCAATGAGAGAGACAAAAGAGTTACAGACATGGGTGATAACTATACGTTAGCAGGGCAAGTGTCAATGCTAAAAAGGGCATATTGACAGAAACAAAACTACTTAGAAGAAGAATTGATGCATTCATGGAAGATGTGGATTGAAACTGCTAATTCTTGCATATAGATGGCTTTGTTGATTAGTGAGAGCTGGCTGTGTAAATTTAATAATAAGAAAACCAAAAGAAGTTAGTGACAATATGTATAGAAACCAGTTTTGA